TAACCTCTGCCAATGACCTGTAGCATGACTGCATATTTCTGTTGCAAATCATTCACTGAATATTATGTACGACCCCTTTATGGATATCAGGAGCCTATTCAGTTAAGCTGACCACCGCTTTTGTATTATCCTTATATCCACCTTTGTGTCATGTGTTGTGCTATTCAGTGCTATGCACCTGTTGCTCATATTTTTCCATACTTTCTTCCCTGGATTTTGAATCTGTGCAGAGAATCATGACTGACAACAGCGAGCATTAATGAACATAGACTCAAGTAAGGGGTTATATACGAGCAGTGGGACCCTCTCCGGCCTCATTTACACAAGAAAGGGGAAGACGGGAGCTTGTGCTCATAATTTAGTAGATTGCAGACACAAGGCTGTGAGTAATGGAGGAGCTCTTCACCAGGAATCCGAGAACATATCATAAAGAGAACGCAGATGTGATTCTCCGTAACGGGAGCGCCAAACCAATCTTCTAAAACAAACCGACTTTAACTCTTCGCCATTCTTATGGAAATAGAGAGACGTGCCTTACAATCTATGAATGGGATTGCCCTGTAAAGACCCAACACAGACATGAGTCAATGCCAGAGAAACTGCCTGACTCACGAGGTCAAAGACAATCCAATGAGACAAACACAAAGTGCAATACACTCAACACAGCCAGCGGAGTGAACTCTTATCTGGAGGGGGAACTGAGGTGGTTTTTTTGTTTTTCAATAATTTAAGGTTTTTATTAAACAAAAACATACAAAAATCAATTTTCACAGTACAATCATTGCAAACCCCACCCCATACATATACTAGAACAGGGTCGGCTAAAAGGAAATCATTGTATTAATTAGGGATGCACCGATACTAGTATCGGTGCCGATGCAGAGTATTTGGGCAAGTACTTGTACTCGCCCAAACGCTCTGCTGCTTCCGGTATCAGGAAGCCGGGTAGCGCGTCATTACACTCTACCTGGCTTCCTGACTAGCCAGGAAGCCGGCTCCATACTCTCTCATCACTTGTGATGAGAGGGCATGGAGCCGGCTTCTCTGCCAATCAGGAAGCCGGGCAGCGTGTAATGACGCACAACCCGCTTTCCTGATTGGTCAGAAGCGGGCCATCTTGTGGTGAAAAAGAAGAAGTACTGGGGGGTGGGGGGATATCGGGATTGAAGGTGAATATTGCAACAAAGGCATTTTGGTTTTTTTATCCCTTAAATGGACTAATCCGGTTTATCTTGTTATAGTTTGTCTGGAGTTCTGCTGTAAACAAGAACAACATGCCCCACAGTCACAGGTCAGAGTCAAACTCCATCAGGATAGTAGCCAGGAGGCCAACAGACTTATAACAGACCTAAAGTCCAAAAGTGGGACACAGACTGGTTCTCCGAGCGCTTAATTCCAGGCAGCAGTGTCGGAGCCAATTGCCAGGCCCAAGCACTCTCCTATGTGGCTGGAAGGGGGAGGGGAACTTGAAGAGGAATTCTGGGGAGCTCCGGCATGAACAGGGGTGATAGGGAGTGCAAAAATCAAAGGAATGGATGACTTGTGGTGCCTGATCTGCAGTAAACTAACAACTTTGCTTTTAGGAATATTGTTCAGTGTCCTTAACCCCTTCATGACTGAGGCCTTTTTTTCCATTTTTTGCACCCATGTTATATTCCACATTTTAGGCCTGAAAATTACTTAAAACCCCCACACATTATATATTTTCTGAATGCCAAGACCCTATACAATATAATGGTGGTAGTTGCAAATTTTTATGTTGAGCAATATTAGCGCAACTCCTTATTAAACCCCAAAATTTAGTGATAAATTTAATTAAATGCCCCAAAACACAACAAAATACCCATTTTTTAAATGAAATATAAAAGATGAGGTTACAACGAGTAAAACGATACCCAACATGCCCAGTTTACAAATTGCGTGCGTCCGTGAAACTGCGAAAAACTGCAGTACCCCAAAAAGTCCACAGAAGACGCTTTAAAAGCCCCCACAGGTCATCAATTTAGAGATACCCCAAAATACTGGCCCTAGAATTATTGCTCTCACTCCGGGGTGCGCGGCGATACCCATGTGTAGCGCGTTCGTCATTTTCATACGTAGGCGCACCCGACGCGTGTTTACGTGGCGACGCGCGTGTTTGCGGGGGCCTTTTAAAAAATTGTATTATTAGTTTTATTTATTTTGGATTTTAAAAACTGTTTTTTTTTACTTTACTTTGACTGCTATCACATGGGGGGGCTTACAAGCTCCCCCATGTGATAACAGATGGTGGTGACAGGTATTCTTTAAGGTGATGCTGGGGGTCCAAAAGACCCTCAGTGTCACCTTTACACTGGAAATAAGCTATTGAAGTGCAGATCGCACATCAATAGCTCATAGCTGGGCTGATTCGTCAGTCACGAAGGGGTTAAAGCTCCAGGCACAGATGAAATACATATTATTGGAGCGGTTTTACCAGCCTGGGGATTTGTATTTGTGTCCATCCATTTCTGAGTTTTCCACAGTGCTGCACAGCTGACACAATCCTATGACGTAGGGCTGGATTGACAGCGGAGAAACCCTGATGGGAAAGCTGAGAGACTAGTTCCCCATCAGGTCCGATTTCTTTGTGATTGACAGGCGACACCAATGGGCAAATTCCATATGGCTGTGCCCACTGCCAATCACAAGGAAGGCAGACCTGATGGGGAACTAGTCTAAGCTTCCCCATAAGGCTCCGCCCACCTGACAGCAAAACTCCTTGTCTGCCTATGTGACAGGCCGGGCAGTGAGCTCAGTAATGCTGATCTTGTGAGTAATATAGACAGAACTGATTTCCGTTAAAACAAAAAAAAAACAAAAGCAGTACAAATTACTTGAGCTTGGGAACAAAAACCCAACGAGCTGCTGATCCATTCTGAGACTGGACAAGTATCAGGAGATGATTCTTCCATCTAAATTCTAAGAGAACCTGTTGTAGTTCTCGGCTCTCCTACGTTACCATGTTTTGTGATGCGATGTGACGGCTGGGTGCGTTACCGTACCAATAGTAAATAATTGGCACTCCAATGCACTAAACCGTGAGATCCAGTGCAGTAGCTGAAACTCTCACATGGGGTGGCCCTGCCGGCACGGTAAACGTCGATTACTCAATTTTCAGCCAATCAGCTGCAGTCCCCGTTCATGCATCGAACAGCTACCGTTGCCGACTGTCAGAATACGGTCAACATTAGCGATAAACTGTTTAAAATTAACTCCGTTACAAAAACTAGAGGCCATCACCTAAAATTGATGGAAAAATAAAATAAAAAACAATCTATATGTGCATTTAGTGTAAATGGAGGAATCCCATTATTTTTATGTTCCGCTCGCAGGCCGAATGAAGAAACATCTATAATTCCTGGTTCCCACCTGGGCGTTCTACAGCGCGTAGGAACGCGCTGAAAAAACGCCCAACGAAGTACAGGAGCTTCTTTGGGGCGTATTTGCCGCGCGTATCCATTAGGATATAGCCGGATAGCCCTCGGAAACGCGCGTTTGTCTCGCGTTTCTTTTACCGAAAATCGCAGTAAAACACGCGGCGTGAAACGCGCATATTCCATACGCCCAGGTGTGAACCCAGCCTTAGCGTGTGATCAGCGCGACATGTAATATTAGATAAACCCGGGACTATGGTGACAGACCGCACTGCCCTGTACATCCTTCATTATGGTACCGGGAGGTTACACTGTGCGAGCTACTAACCAGATATACTATCTGTGCTATACGGGTACACCACAGCTCTGGCATACGGGTGCACCACAGCTCTGGCATACGGGTGCACCACAGCTCTGGCATACGGGTGCACCACAGCTCTGGCATACGGGTGCACCACAGCTCTGGCATACGGGTGCACCACAGCTCTGGCATACGGGTGCACCACAGCTCTGGCATACGGGTGCACCACAGCTCTGGCATACGGGTGCAGGCTATACCGATGGTAAACGGATAGACTACATCTACAGTATACGGAGGTTGCGCTGTGTGAACGGTCACACACATAGTACACGAAGACTGCACACCTAGAAGAACACTGTTCTGTGGTCGGGTTCCTAGGACTGTGATCTGTATTGTGACCTCTGATCTGGGTGCAGCCTCATGACAGGCGCTCCACCTCCAGCACCCTCCTCCACACACACACACATCAGATGTTAACAATCTGCACTTCCCAATCCGATATCCCGAGATGGGGAAGTGAGAGAACCTTTGCTTTAGAGGAGAGGGGACCCGGTCAGTGACCTGTGTATTCTCCGACAGGTGAGGTGCGTCACCGGGATGTAATTTACAATCCTCACATCTGTACTAGTGTCATCGTCTGCACGCTCATCTACAGCCATACCAATAGACTCCTCCGAGGGCCTCGTCTAGACCGACAAACATCTGCTTGTAGGACAGTTCTGTACCACGCACTATACAATGTGATTGTACAATGCACTTTAGATCTACCATTATGTACAAGGGTCTGCCTGAAGGGATACACATAGATTGGCTGGGTCCTCATATGACAATGTTGGTAAATCTGAAGTTGATTGTACAGAGATTGGACGTTCAGATTGTAATGCGTACAGTGAGATCTACCAACAAGTATGTCATGCAGGTCTCTGGCTGATGAGATACGAATTGATTGGACCGTTTAGGGTGGTCCCCATATGACATGATTTCTGTAGATCTAATTCTCCCGCTTGGGGCTGCATGCATACATACATTGGCATGCACATGCGTATGGACTGTGCATACACATGTGCAGGTCTAACCAAGTACCTATGTATACCCTCATACAGCCCCTGTTGATGTCTATGGGCACCTGAGGCTCCCGAGTGAGGAAATACACCCGGATTGTATATTGTATGGACAAACACAGGTTGACCTGCTCCATCTAAATGCCGGAGAAAAAAAACCTAGGGGCACAGGGCGGTATGGTGACTTTGCTCTCTCCCCCAATTAGAGTGCCCCTGCCAATGTCCACTATGCCTGGCACTTACCTCTTCAATGGCTGTGACTGTGTTCCTGCACTGGCTCAGCCTGGTGGTGAAGTTAGACGCGGTGGGAGACTTGTAATCCTCATTGGTCTCACTGATAAATTCCGACACACTGATCTGGTCCGGCATGATGAGCAGGAGGTGGGCACACACGGAGGTGCACAGCTACATGCACTGTCCGGGCACACACACAGCGAGCCCCGATCACAACAAAGCGCCGACCAGGCACCGAGACACGAGGGCAGCAAGAGTCAGGTAGCTCCGCGCACACATACACCCGCAGAGTTCAGGCAGAGGACAGCACCGATCAGACGTGCCCGGGCTCCATCCCCAGCAGCAGCCACCGCTCCATGAGTCCCAGATCCCCAGAGTAGGGCAGTGGCTGCTGGGTACACCTCCCAGTGTCACCACTCCTCTCCCACTATCTAGACCAGTAGAACCCCCGCCCCTCTCCCAGTATAGACTATCCACACCCAGCTCTCGGGTCTCCCTTTCTCCCAGTACCGCTCCTCCTAGATCCCAGTATATCCCCTCCTCTCTCCCAGTAGCTGGCCCAATGTGACACCGCCCCTTCACCGGCAAAACCCC